AGCGTCATCTTTTTCTGAGAGCTCACATAGATAAGACAGTTATAAAGCTGAAGTAAACGAAACTATACGTATTATTAGAATTGATGAATAGAACAGAAGTTTCTGATATTAACTACAGAACAGCATAAACATGATACATGATTCATGTATTGCATCTGTATACGATGTTCGCACGGATGTTAGCATATCAAATAAATTATTATTGCTAAAACTAAAACGACGCTAATTTCAACTGAAGAATAATGCAATAAAAGACACAATTGTGTATCTTTTGGCTAAAATTTTATTTAAATCAACTTCCAGGCTCATATGTAGATTAAATTATGAATTTTTTAAATCGAAAAAATCAGTTCAAACAAATTGAAACCATATCCTAACTTTTCAGATATCATCAACGTCGGATAGCTTGATATACAGTTTACTATATACACTCCTTGGTGCTTATATATTAATTATAGAGAACGTATCAATTTCAGGCCTAGGGTAAACGACCTACATCCTAATTATACTTTGTACATATCATTTAAAATGTAACAATGAAAAATTTGCAAGTTCAGGTTAGTGTCCATTGTAAAAACAAACGTCTAAAATAAACATCAGCAGGCCTATATTAAACACTTCTCTACACTTATATTAATTATGGAGAGCGTCGGGTATTATCCCTGGACAGAAATCAGACGGTATTATTAAAAAAACATAACATATTATTTAGAATCTTACAGCTTACCTTGGTAATATCCGAGACAACCTTTCAGCTAAAGAACCCATCGAGTCCAGTTTTAGTTCCAAATTTCAGAAAGTTGGCCCAATTCATTTATTTACTGATTCTTATTAATAACCTTTGACCCCAGTTAAAATTTCGCCTCAATAGATAAAGCGGAAGTAATATTAGACTCTATAGAACTTCTGGGCTCGTGAAATGGAATGTTTTCATGCTGATAAGAAGCGCGTGAGTAATTAACTTGCGCGTGTTCGTCTTCTAAACTTCTAAACGATGGCTGAAAATCCATCTGTTAGTAGAATTAGGTCACGTGTCAGTCGATGCCAGGTGAACTAGCTCGAAAAGAAAAACGTAAAAAAAAAATATAAATAATAAAAGTAAAATTATGTAAACAAAGAAAACTTCGTGTTGAATGTTTCCAGTAGACAGAACTATATGTATAGGGTTTATATTTGTTTACAGAGAAAGACAAACAGGCATAGTTTTACATAACAATTTAGCTTCAAGAGGAACCTTTCTACCAGCTGGTCCTTAGTCAAATCTGCGTTGATCTTTCCAGAATTATCGTTATCCATTTACAGCTGGGTCGACAGTAATAATGAGCAAAGATGACATATTCAATACTTTCATAAATGAAACTGAAACAGCTTTACCCAATTTAAAGAGATATTATTGTATAAGATATATATCGCTATTGCTACTTCCAATACAATGGTGTAGATTAGTAAAATGAATATTATACGATTGTATATCCCTTTACAGAAAAAAGGTTGGAAGAAATTGATGCTTTGATGATGCATTGATATTCAAATTGTCAAAAATAATACAAAATAACAATTGCTTTTTATCCGCATAGAAAGGCTGTTTGCTAATTACCACAATAAGAGGAAGCATCAGTCATTCTTCCAGGAAACCCGGCGTACCTTGGTTTGGTAACTACGCACACGTATTATTTGGGAGTCTGATACTTATAATGTTATCGGTATTTGGGATTGTCAACTCAGCATCCTTACAAAAAAATCCTTAGTTAATACATTGGCATGTTCCTCAGGCAACTTAACATGATAATGATAGATATGAATAATCATACCGTTGTTTAAGGAACATGATACATTGGTTTGTATTTTACGAGACAACAATTGTCATGGATATAGACTTTTATTTTTTCCTTTTGAACACAACGTTTCATTACACATACAGGTAACGTTCTCAAGTGATTGTTGTCTCTTAATGTGCAGTTATACTTCTAAATGTCTTACAAGGATTACATTGGTTTGTATTGTTTACTTCACTAACGAAGGTAAAATCTAGACATAAATCAAATGAAAGTTGAGACTGGGGTGTACTCTTGACTTTAGTGTGATAAGGTAATTAGTACAATCTGATACTACCGACTTTTATTATCAGAAATTATCTTTAATATTTATAGCTTCTTGATAACAGAAACCACTATTCACTGAATCTCACAACTTACTTATACACTGTTAGATATATTCAATTAACAGTTGAGAGGCCGAATCCAACAGTCACTACAAGCTTTTCATATCGTCCAGTTGGAGAAAGAACATTTATAAAAAGCTGAATTTTCTTCATTATAGCACAAGTCGGTACCACCCATATCCGAAAAACATTTGGGGCCCTCTACCTAACGAATCATGGAATCCATGGAAAGGCCAAGAAAGGCCAAGAAAAGGTCAGCTATTTCGGACTAACTATCATGAACTCCACAAAACTGGACCAAAACAACTTTACAGACCAAACGAAAGAAATGAATTGGAGTTTTAAATCTTACATTACTACCGAATCATGGAATCCATGAAAAGGAAAGGCCATGAAAAGGTCAGCTATTTCGGACTAAATATTAGGAACTAAACATAATTTCTCATGTTTCACACCTCGTAACAACAGCGAGAAATTGATAAGAAGTTAACAGGTAACTAGACGTAAGAAATAAAATAAAAACAAGGTAATTCTGTAATCAGAGGAACCAGAGATAAATATTGTGAAAGAGAGAGTTAAAGAATGCCAGGAATGGGGAAAATAACACTCCCTAGAAATATTGAATTATCACTAGAAATAAACAAAGGAAATACTTAGACCTATTAAGCTGTTTGTAATCTAAAACAGACTAGTTCACATAAAGATCAATTGCCCTTTCAGAATTTTCTTAACATTACAAGGGACATAACTGGTAGTCAATGTATTACTAATATATTAATGATGATATTAGATTATTAAATTTAATGTAAATGATGCTGAAATAGAGTTGGAGGGATTAGAACATGCCAGAAGACTCAAAGACTATCATCCGCCAGTTGTGTATTTGGGGTGGGGTGGGGGGAGAGGGTGTGGTTGATTTGAGCCTTGAATATGTAAATAGACTTCAGAAGTACGTAGAAATGTATTATAAAATCGCATAATTCTTTCAAACATACTAGGACCTTTATATAATATATCGCAGTATCTCAAGTAATGACGAGTCGTCATTTTAACTTTCAAACGCTGATAATTCTCGACACACATGAATTTGAAGGCTAAAAGGCTTGTGAACACTGATTAGCTAAGCTTAACAATTCCCGTTTTCTGAAACTAAGGATATTATTGGTCAAACGAATGAACCTATCCCTTTAATTAAATTCTAAAGTTTGATGCCTACACTGGGTATTAGTTATATGGCCTTGAAAAATATAGAAAAAAACACCAAATTACGTTTTATTTCATTCATAAAACGTTACTATGGAGATACGCCTTCACGTCGCCATCTTAATCCCGACGTCATCAATTACTGTGTAAATGTACTTTGTTAAGATTACCAAGTTAATGAATGGATAACGATATGTTACGAGGTTACTATGTATTTGATGTCCATTTGTAACCTGAAACGTGTATTTTCAATCACTATGTAATACACGTAGCTTTTTTTTTATCTAGAATGTTTAAGAAGATATAGATTTAAATAAAGAAAATGTGCAATGAGATTTACAAGAGCATTTCAAGAAATCCAGAATAGTGCTATTTTGGGGCCATCGGACCTATTACCATAGCTACTAATGGGGATCAAAGAAACTTCAGGAATCACCATACTTTTGTAAACCACATCAGGAGAACGTTCGCTCTTGGAAGGGGTTTATTTATCGGTTGTGAATGCTCATTACATCATAAGCCACCACTGTGTTTTACAGATATAACCATCGATCCTTCTCCAATGATATATGCCTACTCGTAAAACAGACTCTTGCCAAGGGAGACAATAGCAACAAACTCTACATTTTCAACAAAAATGCAAGCAATATACTTTCAAAAAAGTAAATTCTATACTTTCAACAAAGCTACAAACTCTATACTTTCAACAAAGCTACAAACTATATACTTTTAACAAAGCTACAAACTCTATACTTTTAACAAAGCTACAAACTCTATACTTTTAACAAAGCTACAAACTCTATACTTTCAACAAAGCTACAAACTCTATACTTTTAACAAAGCTACAAACTCTATACTTTTAACAAAGCTACAAACTCTATACTTTTAACAAAGTTACAAACTCTATACTTTTAACAAAGCTACAAACTCTATACCTTTAACAAAGCTTCAAACTCTATACTTTCAACAAAGCTACAAACTCTATACTTTTAACAAAGCTACAAACTCTATACTTTAAACAAAGCTACAAACTCTATACTTTCAACAAAGCTACAAACTATATACTTTTAACAAAGCTACAAACTCTATACTTTTAACAAAGCTACAAACTCTATACTTTCAACAAAGCTACAAACTATATACTTTTAACAAAGCTACAAACTCTATACTATTAACAAAGCTACAAACTCTATACTTTCAACAAAGCTACAAACTCTATACTTTGAGTTAAGCTACAAACTCTATACTTTGAGTTAAGCTACAAACTCTATACTTTCAATAAAGCTACAAACTCTACACTTTCAACAAAGCTACAAACTCTACACTTTCAACAAAGCTACAAACTCTATACTTTCAGAAAAGCTACAAACTCTATACTTTCAACAAAGCTTCAAACTCTATACTTCCAGTAAAGCTATAAACTCTATACAGTATGCTTTTAGCCGAAGTGGATTCAATTTCGCTTCATTTTTCTGATAAAAAGAGAAACGAAATTGTATTTAATTTAAATTAGAGTCGCTTTTAATATCTCTATTCATGCACTAAAATTTAACCAAACCCAACGACATGACCTGATATCGTACTCTGTCAAATGAAAACTGTGTTTGCCTATCGGCAACTATAAATATAACTTGGTCTGTTTATTCAAGGGAGACGTATTCAAAAAAGTCTTTTTGTCAACTCGTGATATTAAAATTTGATAAATTTGGGTCTCTGGAAGGACCAGGATGTAATATTAAGGGCAAGAAATTCAGAAAATTGGGTAAGTACCTTTGGAAATGATTTTGACAATATAATATATATAATTATAATTGGGAGAGGGAGGGGGAGGGGAAATGACAAAGAAAGTCATCATGATCCCGTTATTCAGGTCCTGGTTGTTATTACCTCAGTTTAACGTTTTCACTTTTAATCTTATCCTGCTCAAACAGGTTGAGTGAGTGTTGTATTGAGCTCCATGATGTATATAAAACAAACCAGTTCTTGCTCAGTGCTTTTGTGGGTATTTTCTCTCGTGATAGAATGTAATTCCAATGTAACAGGCGTGGGAGAAAGCTAAGGGTTTGCTCGATGGTCTATAAATGACGGTCTATAAATGATGTATTCTGTACAAGTTATAATTTTGATGTTCATCCATCAAAGTTATTAGTCTAATTTTAGTACTTACCTTATTGATTTACTTGAAGTTTTTTTTTTTTTACTATTAAGTACTTTTTGCGAGTTTTTGGGTCATAAGGTCATACGAGATTATATACCTGGCGTATTTTCTAGATTCGTTATATGTATGTCCTCAGGAGTAACAGAGGTGCTCTTAGAGGAGTTGTCTCACTCACAAGTCCCCTGCATCGGTGTTTTCTGTCAACAGGGGATTCGAAATCATGGTCCTTATATGATATTAAAACAATAACATATTCCTAATATATTAATGTAGGACTCAATGTGTATATTTTTGAGGCTATAGCCGCAGGGGTGAATTTTATTTTAGTAACACAGTATTTTAAACTGTTCAGAAGTAGTTATGATATGTTTATTTTGTATGTGTATATATGACAATTAAACCTAAATACAAACATGCAATATAAATAATATTATATATAGACGTGGGAAGAGTATACTATATTCTAGTGTTCTAGTGTACTGAAAACGTACAAAGAATGGGGAGGGGGTCGCATGTATTCGTTTAACCATTTATTAAAAGTCTTTAACCGGATGCAGTTCATTTTTATGTGCCATTCTCACCCTTTTTTTAAGAGTTGGTTGTGCATTTTACGAAATTTGAAATTTTATTAGGCGTGTGGCCGGAGGATTTTAGCAGACTTCTTTCAGGGAATGATTACAGCTTGATGCCAACCATTTTGTTTTGGGATATGGTTTAGCGGCTAACTTTGCCTAATCCAATGACACTCTCTTACCTTTTTTTGAAAAGTTTTGACAATATATCTTTTTTGTGATGTATTGTTTCATTATAATACGGATGTGACGAAATTCTTTGTGCCATACGACCTTCATACGAAACCACGTATAGTTCTTACATGGAAATAACACACACGAACATAGTTCACAACCATTCCTCAACTTAATAAGTCGAATTCTACAACGTACAACAAAGTTTTCAAATCACATTTAAAGCCATTTCTACACCTGTAAATGTGATTTGAAGGCTTGTAGCTACTTTTAAAATTCGACTTATTTAGTCGAAGAAGTCTTTCAAAATGGTTGTGAACTTCGTTCGTGTGTGTTATTTCCACATAAGAACCATACGTAGTTTCGTATGATGCGGCCTTGTGACTAAGTTACTTTTAGAGAAGTAATGTAGAGTGATCCGAATTCCAGATATAACTTTATCCTGTTTTTGAAATCAAGGAACAATTTTGAGATTTTTTTATCATTTCAGAACAAAATGGTGAGATCGTGTTTGTTTTTGTCTATTTGTGTTTTGGTGTTGGTTGATGCTGCTGCAGACTGGCGTCTTGTCAATCCAAAAGGTAGGTTCATATGATCATATAAATGAAATGAATGGAGTTTTACGTCCTACTCTTCTGCACCCACAGACGGACAAGGCTATAAAGTTTACAATGAGGGGAAATTTGCCAAGACTATGACATTGGCCTCTACATTTTCAATTTCCAACTGTCGAGGGATCTTTAACGTGCAGTCTGTGGCACAGGGAGCGTAGGTTTAATGTCCTACTCGAACGACTAGACCTGCATCACTGACACAGGGAAACCAGTTTGAAAAATCCGAAGATGTCCACATGACTATAAGGCAATATAAATATAGGACATGAATCTCAATTGTAAAATTGAGTACGAATTCAGTAATTTATTTATCAGATCATGCAAGGATTCTGTTGTATATCCTAAGAAATACGTCTAATGAATATATGCTCTTATTGCCCAAGCTTGATAATTTACATTTTATGTAAGAGACAGTTTCCTTTTAAAGCTTTTAATTTCAACAATCTTGTTTCCCTTGTCTACAGAGACAGATAAACCACCATATCACAGTAGTCCAGAATCACCAACACATCACCACAGACCAGACCGAGTACATCCGGGTGGTTTATACTCAGTCAAACCTTCACATCGTACCATATACAGGATAAGAACCACCACACAGGCATTCGAAACAGATGAATTCAGGAGACAGAATCAAGAGAGGTTTAGAGAAGATCAGATCAAATATGCTTATAGTAAGTTTATTTTGGGTTAACTTCTAAATATCCGACTCACTTAGCCAAAGCCACCGAATGGTTATGGGCGTGATCCTAGGCAGGGTATGCTTACTCTTCTATAAACCTTATACCACTTTTCATTATGAAATACTTCCTCATTTATGATCGATATATTTCCTCATTAGCTGCCACCAATGTGTTGCCAAACTGTTATTTTTGATTTTGGATTTCGTTTTGTGGTTCGGTAGTTATTATTAGATTTATATATTTATATATATTATTATTTTTGTATCTGAATATTTGCTTTATCATTCGATAGAGATCTATTATTGACATCTGTAACATTTTTCATAGTTAAATCGGCGCTCGGTTCTGCTATATTTTAAATACAAAATGGCATGTTGGTTATTATTTTCAGTTATAATAGGAGGGTCGGTAGGAGGAGCTGTAGTACTAATACTAACTATTGTTGTACTGGTTTTAGTTCTGAGAAGTAAACGGTAAGATCTCAAATATATCTCAAACATCTTGGTTTCTTACAATTCCACTTAAATTAAGCATTGACGTCACTATCTCTATCACTATCACTAGATAACCCCATTCTAATGATTTTATATTTAACCATTCAAATCGTGTCGTGTAGAACCTATTTCTGATACCAAGGCGAATTTGGGAATAGCGAAACCCGAACTAGAGCAATATGGCCGCTTCTCAGAATCCTAAGGGCCCTAAATGACACAAGTTAAATCGTGATTAGACGGGGCTGTGTTAGAAAACTTGTTGGATTACAATGGAGACGAAAATATCAAACAGAAATGTATTTTGTAATTTTCAGACGTAGACGAGCAAAGGTTATTGAAATAGAAAGTAAACCCATCACAAACCCACGCTACCAAATCTCCATCATCAATCCTAAATTACATGGACCACCGCCACCTTACGACAATGTCGCTTTCAAGAACGGTAACTCTGACAGTCAAAGAGCAGACGAGTATGACGTCAACATGGATGACGTCAAGGATTCTAAATTTCATCATCGTGAAGGCTTGAAAACGAAAAGTTCCAAAGATCCTAAATTCGAGGACTTGTACAATCATTTGAATGCTACAGATGTGCAGAATGTTCACCAGAATTTATATAAAAGAGGTGATAGTACAGACGACAGTACTGGTGGCGACGAGGCTGATAACGAGCTCTCAGATGAAGTCGAAGTTCAAGAACCATCCAAAGAGGGTAAAGACAGCCCTGACTCAGACGACAACCAGGCTAATACCATAACTGGCAAATTATAAAGTCCAGAGTTTCATATGTCCATATTGGGTTTTAATTTTTGTTTATGATAACGACAAGTTTTTTTGTAGGTTTTTTGTAGGCTGTTTTGGAATATCATTAACATTTTTGGGTGAAATTTTCCTGGGTTTGAAATTCATATATTTTTTATATATTGAAGTATATTTTATATTTAACACGTCTAAATCAATAAATAATACATTCCTGTTTGGATTTGTAATTGAATTCAGATCAGTAGACTATTTAGGGAGGGCCATGTCCCTTCCCTCAGGCCTGAGAAAGGAGAAACTTATGTTGATCACTATAGTAGTGGCGTGTGAACCGCTAAGCAGATCATGCTTACTCTACCATGCTTAGGCCTACTCGAAACACCTGATAATACTTCCACTAAGAAGAGTTCACTACTAAACAATTACTGCCCCCGATTTTGTCCTCTTTTGGTTGAGATTTTTGATTAATGAGATTGTTTTGCTTTTACAGATTGACATTACATCTCACGATTATTTACAAATTTGATGTGGGTCAAAACAAAGCCATTGTTGGTTTCATTCACAAGCCGACTTCAGAATAGTTCACAAAACTTTTGACCAGCAGACGTTTGAAGTCAGATGAACTCTAGGGGGAGCTATATATATCTAGTTTATTTGACCTAAGATTGGCTCGACGATTCATTTGTGAATAAGAATGATGTGAATATTGTTCATCTCAATTCACAGGATTCCTGTTCACGAGCCTCGTGGTTGTTAGGGGGCGGGGAAATAAAGTCTTTCCCTACCGTGTCATACCGTGTCATATGAAGCTTCTTTGAATAAACCCACACTAAACTACGTTGCAGTAGAAAATTCCACCAAAACAGTACACACGACAAACATGTGTAAATATTCAAGGTATTAAGGGTATTTTCGCATAATCTCGAGGTTTATCGCGAGATTACTGATCTGAATAAAAATGGCGGTGTTAATCCAGAACGTTTCGCTGATCTATACCTTATTATGAAATGGTATGGAGTTTTATATCCTACTGTTCTATACCTTATTGGACTAACGATATTACAGGGAGTCGACTGTTCTCCGTAGAGTATCCCATTTATATGTTTATCAACAGGGTACTTTTGTACGAAAACTGTTCTCTGAACATTTATGTCAGAAATACTGAGTTGTAAAAGGAACCTTCACAATGATAAACTTATACATGTTCTTATAAGAACGAAGTTTGTAATAGCTTGACATGATAGATGGTACCAGACATACTTGCAACTTCTATTTACACCATTTCAATTTCCTGTATGACCTTTAAATTTTCAGAAATTTTGACCAGAGTATGATTTCTCTATCATAGGAGGAGAGAGGATATTGCTCAAAGCGTAAAACTTCACATAAGTCTCTAAACAGCATATAGAATTAAAATGTTGAATTTTCACTTTACCTTTTTAAGCAAGTTAAATCCATCTTCTTATAGTAGCCGACTTAAATAGCCGATTTAATATTATATCGTGTATTTATTGTATAGTGTATTTGATAGGCGCCGCCCAAAACTAACACAGCGCTTATACCTTCTGTATAAACCAATATTAAAATGTGTACAGCCCTGTGTCGGTGACAATACACCCTATTTCAAGACGAGTAGATTGATTCACATAGAACTTGTAGGAGTTTATTGCTCATTATTGCCCTTTTTTAGGTTTAAAAGGGTTTCTCATATCCACTTGTAAATCTCACGATTTTCGTATAGGTTACTTTATAATAAGGTCTATCATATACAATTATATATATATAGTCGTCTTAATATTTACTTTACCAGATGATAGAACTCAATATCCACTGCCCGTATTCTTTTAAAAATAGAATTCTGGCGACTGATTCGCCTAAAATTGAATAAGAATGAGTGACTTCTACCAGCTGAAGAAAGGATGGTTTCCAAACGTTATCATCTCTTAACGCACAAACGTTTTTTTTTTAATTACAGACGATTCAAAAGCCGGATGGTCATTCTGAAGGGTGATATTTAGGTCTATCAGCTGGAAAAGTAAAACTTTCGACTTGACTTTATGAAAAGGCTAAAAGATTTAGCTATATTAAATGAAAAAGCTATTAAAAATTAGTAAATTGTAACTTGAGAAGAAAGCTAATTTAGCTGGAATAGTTAAAATATTGATCTATAAAAACTTGAAAATATCGATGACTATACATTACTACATAAGATTTTTGTGGATTAAAACTAACATGTAGCAGGTGTAAACATTGTAAACAACTTGTAAACAATAAATGTAGTCCTATGTAATAATATTTTACATGACAACAGCTTGGCAGCATTCATAGTTATATTTTTACCTCGAAAGATCGATGTATGCTTCAATGCCTATATTTTTCAACAGGTAATATAACATTTGAAGGCATGTTTTCTTTTGCTCAAGATTCATTTCCAACCGTGCAGAGCCGTAGAAAAGACGATGGTCATTGATGTTTTCGGAATTTCTGATGCTGGTACAAACTGTAGATTGTAATAGTAGATCTTTCAGGATCGACCGTTGTTGAATTAGAATTACGAGGTCATGTTACTTCAATGATGCTGTGGAAATCCTTTACGGGAAATATTACGTGAGAGATCTTCAGGCGCACATTAAACTATGATGGTGACGATCGCTCTCACTCACCACTTGATGGCACAAAGAAAGCACGTTAGACGTCGATCTTTTCTGAAAGTCGCAGAAGACGTCGTTGCTTTCTGTAAGTCGCATACGACGCCGTTGCTTTCTGTAAGTCGCATTATAAATACAGTCAGCTAGTGGCTTTGTACAGGGCCATGTAAACTATATACATGTAATTGAAAATCGATTTTTGGAGATTAAGCCTTGTGTAGGCTGAAGCAGTTACACTGAAACACGAGTCACAGGCATGTGTATAAGGTCTTCAAAGAGCCTACTCGATTTGAGTCTTAAATAATTTTACAGAAGTTTGGTTTAATCAAATATAACTATTAGTTTATCTTTACAACTCGACTTCGCACAATAATATTAGATTTAATTCAGTGAATTGTAGGCTCATCTCTATATCAACAATATTTGACAATTTCAATGTTTCATATTATTAGCTCAGCTAGTTCGAGAACAGAAGGGTGTAGGCCCTATGTAAAATCATATTTTATTCGACCCCAAAACCAACAAACAGTCGGATATACATCTCCATTTTATATCATTAAGGTACAGACTAGTAGAGAGTATATTCAATTTCATATAACAAGCCCAGTAGAGTGTAAACTGCATTTTAAATAATTAGCCTATAGAGGTATAGAGCAGTATATCATTATTCTTATCATTTATATCTTCGAATATCTTTGACTATTAGTGCTTAGGCGTGGATACATTCTTGTGATTTAATGAACGAAGGGAGATAACACCATTTTTACATTTTTTATATTCACAACCAAGTTAACTTGAGATTATATTGCCCGTCGGAGGAAGGAGTATCAATCTTTATAGTTGGCATCAGCAGGTAAAAAGGGCACAATACCAAACTGTCTGTAACTCACAAGACCCCCCACTAGAAAATTAATGAGTACGGAGTAATTAGAAATCATCTCTTCAATATTAACTCCGCTATCCTAAACTTGGCTGTTTATTAAAAAAAAAAAACAAATATTCGAGAAACATGCTTTCGGGGCTGTGAGGAGGTGCGGCTTTCTTCAAATATGCACAGACAAAGAGGATAAGACCAAAAATAGCAAATATTAGCACTAGATTTCCCACTAAATTCATTTACCGTCATTTTTCCTAATCGCTTTATTCAAAGTATATTATAAATATAGTATAGACAAAGAGGATAAGAACAAAAAAATTTATCTATTAGTACTGTTATATTACACTAAAAAACACAATATATAATGGACTATTAATAAGTTACATATGTTTATAATTCTAGTAGACTACAGTGATTAACTTTCTAATTATAATACCAGCTACATATTATCATATATCGTATTAAAAAAATTAAAAGGGGGGTTAGGGGGGCAAAGTCCATAGAAACCTTAAGTAGAGCAATATGACAGCCTATAGTATACTATAATTATAATACAATGCATATTCTATTCTTATCTGTGAGAACATAGCTTCTATTTGTTGGTATTTCCAATTTCACCGATTGTTTTATGAGAAATGGGGTATAGGCTTCAAAATAGTAGGCCTACTGTTAATTTTAGAATATTTTTGCTTTGATAAAAATATAAATCTTAACAGGAATCTGATTTGGATCTGATCTCAAATTAATATCAACAATTTGGCAATAGAAACCTTTTTGTTTTATAGTTTTATTTTATGTTTTCACAGAATAGCTTTCAAGAAGTTTTTGTTTTCCACAGTAAGGTTTATTTTTGTCAACACGTGATTACAAAGCTCTCACTATTACGATTCTGAACGATACAAAGTAACACAGTGATTTATTGTGTTGGTTTTACGCCAGACTTAAAAATCTTCACGATAGAAAAATGAACTGATAATATCTGAATGTAGGTGATCACTTAAAGATAGATATAAATTCCTGTGCATTACTTTTATCTACATCGATTAAATTAATGAAGTTTACACCTTGCTTCTCCGAATCTTATTTGGCTAACGAGGGTGGCAACGTGAAGCAGTGGGCAATGTGGAGAAATCTACTGGATTAAAACTTTTATTGCACCCCCACCCCCCCCTCCCCCCTCACCCCTCCCCAACCCTTCCACCAAGAAGCACGGACATATAAATCAATGGTAAGTGAGTTCAGACACAAAGATAAAATACTCAACACTAGCAAACAACCAACAAATACCCTTTCCCACCAACACCCACCCACCAGCCCTGTCCCCCACCTACAGGCTCCATGATTTAATTAAAGTTAGTATCTACCTACCCTTAATAAGCACTGGTAGAAAATAACCAACAACTTCCTCCAACTCCCTCATCCACCTACATCAACCATCGCTACCTCATCTCCGCCCCCTCAAGAGGTAAAACTTCACGAACACACATATTCAATTACAGACAAGTACAGAAGGAGAGAGTGTGAATTATTTGATAAAGTAATAACTGACACTAACTGGTGTTGGTGTTTCTCTACTTATCTCAATATTACACATTATACTACTTGTAACGTATCACAAGAAGAACATCAACGATTGGTAAAATAGGCGCACCTGTACCTGTAAAGGTGATTCAAGATTGAAAGGAACGCAGGCAGGTGTCTG